CTGGGTATATAAACTAACAGGATGTACTGATTTTCCCATAAATTTTGCATGGGATGAGTTGTCCTAAAATAATTTAGCATGCTTCTGAGAACCTGTTAAGAAAATACCTGTAAAGATTTAAACGAAGAAAGACTAAAACGATAAATGTGAGTGAAGAATTTTATTGTAGACATTGATGACTTAATCAGAATTTAAAATAAAGTTCCCTAAGAGAAACTTGCAGAAAACAACTTTCAGAGTGAGGATGCAAATTAGTTTTCAAAACACACGAATATAGTGAAGTTTAACCAACGATTCAGTCCATGCTGTTCCAATGCAAAAATGAGAAGAGAAAGAAAAGCAGCACAGGTAGATCTAGGTAACTGTGATCTGGAAAAAAAAACCAAACTGACAAGAAAATTCCCTGAGACAGCCTCCCATCAGTGGTTACAACACTCCAGTATGCAGCCCCTCAGCCATTTCGGTGCAAGAACCACCAATTGCATGTCTGTAATTTAGTTATTTTTGGTCTCGGCAGGGGGGAAGAGAACACTTCATAGATGTTTGTACAATCAACGGGTTGCTAGAAGTTACAGGTAAATATTCTTTGCAGATAAAGAAGGAAATTATTTGCAGATCCACCTTTAATCACATGCAGGAAGATAGCTCTCATCATGTAAATTGTTTCAGCAGCTGTGTTTTTGGCAGGGTTGGTTTTTTTTGCTTGGTTGGCTTTTGGGGATGTTTTGGGGTTTTTTTCAGACATCTTTTTTTGGGTTGTTTTTCAGACATCTAAGTTGTACTTCAGAATCTCAGGCAACAGAACTTCTGTCCTTTAGGGACAGAACATTTAAATGCTTTCTGCAAGTTTTCTGCAAAACTTTAGGTTAGTGGCATTCATAATAAAACGTTAGCTAATTTGAAAAGGTTATTTATAGTCTTACTTGTCTAGGTTTTCCAGCAATGACTGGCAGAGTATTGTCAAATATCCAGCCTCCACTGCATTATGAGACACATCTAAAACAAATAAATATACCGCAGGCTGAGGAGGACGAAGCTACAAAGTAAAAAAAATAAAAATAAAAATTGTTCAAAAATCATATTTAAAGAAATGTTAAAAATGATTAGTCATTATAAAGGGAAGTGGGAAAAGGGAATAAGTAGAAAAACACAAGGTATACATTATGCAATAAAACTTCTTTACTAGGAGTCATGCAGATACAATTAACCCCAATTCCCAATGGTTAATAATTCCCATTTGTAATAAGCACATAATGCTTTGCTTTCTGAACAGAAATTGGATATTTTAGTCCCTCCTTCCAACAGTCAACTCAAACATGACTCTCTGATTCCATTGGTCTTCCATTACGTGGATAAGGTGATCCATTAAACTGGGTTAAAATAATCTACCTACATCCTTTTCCCAACCATTAACATGCTGTATTTATTCACTGCCAAATGTCTTGGCCACAGTGATTCCATTCTACGACAACAGAACAATTTATTTTAGCTCTTGTTAATAATGTCATTATGAACAGGGCCTTTTACCAGGCCATATTTATCTTTCTTGGAGACAAGACAACTGCAACAGCAATTTAGTCTGACTCCTAGTTAGAATCTTTTCTGTCACAATTACTAACTCAAAATTTGAGCCCAACTTAATTCTCTAGTTATTCCATTACTGGTCTTTCAAAACCTCTTCAAAATGAGGGAGAAACCAAGAAACCACATTGCAACAGACTCAAACCAGACTATGCCTCATTAAACTCCACTGGAAAACGACATGCGTTCCAATTGCCTTTAACTGACAAGCATTTGAATATTCATTTGCCAAAACTAAATTAATACACACCACAGGAGCAATATGCAACATTAATTTCAAGCGCATTGACAGTATCATGCAACTGGGATATGGCCATATCGAGGGATATGGTGTAGGGGAGGACTTTGTAGAGTAGGGTAGATGGTTGGACTCGATGATCCCAAGGGTCTCTTCCAACCTCAATGATTCTATGATTCTATGAACTGCTGTTGAAGTTACCATGAAAACTTGTTTACCATGTAGTCTGAGGAAGCAATGAACTCCACGGTAGAATTTTGGACCTCTGGCCGTTTGTGAGGCTCTCCATAAGATCGTGTCAGAGGATTATACATAAACTCTTCAGGAACTATAAAAAAAAAAATTTTAAAAAATTTTTTCCCCACAAAAAATTTTATATATTTGTCAGCAAATAAAAAGCATTATGGCAGCTACAAGCAAAGTAATGCAGACATATTTCAATTATCACCAACAACAGCAAAAAAAAGAAATCACATTAACGATTGAAGGAACATTTCAAGTGTCCCACGCATCAAAATTAAGTCAGAGGAGACAAGAGCAGGTTGATTTTAAGCAGCAATTCATTGCCAACTTCAAAACACCAATGCAAATAGAGCATTTCACAACACTAAGCTTTGACCTGTATTGTTTCTCATAACCTCTGGCATGGATGGCAGACAGTATGAGCTGTCACCATGTTGCTGTCTGTGTATTGCAACAGCAGTCAATGGAAGAAATTGACCTCATTATGCAAGTAATCAGGATAATACGGTAACATTTAATTTGTCTCAAAATTTCAAACCACACTTTTGCTTCAGAAAATGCACCGCACATCTGACTTGTGATCCAGAGATTTTTAAAAAAATCTTAAGAACATTGTCATTTTAATCTACATTTTAATCTAGAGTATGCCATGGACTGATACAACGCAAATACCTGACAGATTCTATAAACACAAGCATCTCTTGCTACAAACCCTTACCATCGTTAACTCTATAGCAGAGATTACATTTCCACCTCCTTTGATCAATGAAAGAAACAAAAGGGTTGATGTATGTCCTGCAGGATCTGCATCTCACTATTGTGCTTGATGTTATTACTGGTAATTGCTAAAAGGAAACAATGGAAAGCTGTAACAAAGGTACATAATACATTTTATGGAAAACATTACTGTGCAGTACAGAGCATAAAAGCTTCACAAGACAAGATATTCTATCATCTTTCCTTTTATCTTTTTAGCTCATTTTCATACAGAGTAATTATGATGCCTATTAAAAATATCCTCCTTTCTAAAATCAGCAGAAATAACCACGGATCATTGTCTTAATCCAATCTCACAAATCAAAGATTTTTAATGACATTAAATTACACTGTTATAATAACACAGCCACTATGGCAAGAGGAATTATGAAAGACAGGACAACTCTGGGTGACTAAATATGACAAACAGCAAACCTTACCCAAAGAACACACATTAGATGAAGTTATACCAGATCGTTATCCACCTTTTTACATAAACACAGTATTAGGTCTACAATTTAATATATCCACAATTTGGTTCAAAACCCAGCTTTATATTAATTGAGTCAGTGACATTTGCAGCTGCTTCTGCTCACCAAGAAAAGCTCTGGACCAGAGGCCCCAAAAATAGCTTATGCAATTTGAAACAAGTAATACCACATGTAGATGTATGAAGTAGTGATCTTAAATGCACATAGAAATTGAACAATTAAAACTCAGTTAATTGTTATCGACAAAAAATAAGAGTTGATCTGCAAAAGTATACAAGTCTGAAAAACATAGCAAGTCCCTAGTCTCATGAGATGAATATTAATGGAAATTTTTGTACCTTTGTGCTTGACCTTTGATTGGGATCTTCTCGGGAGTGCAAGAGCCCTGCTCCCAAAGATGGCAACTGGGTTTGGAACACAGATATCCGCCCACCCGTCGGAGACATCAGTTTAAAGGCAGCCTGAAGAGCAGGGCCCAACGCACTGTGTGTTTCTCTCGTATTGGTGAACATATTTGGTAATGCATTCAACAGATCCTTGATCAGCTGCAGAACAGATTGAAAGGTGTTTATGAGATTTTGCAGGCCGGAGATTTTCTGCTGTTTCTAAAAAGCTGTACTGCCATAGCTGAAGCGGAACAATCAGTACCAAATATTTCAGCTTCGTTTCAAAACACTAAGGAAAACAAAGTCATCATTTAAAAAAACCTATGACGCATCAAACAAACAGCGTGTAATACTTCTATAATTAAAAAGTAACATTAGATTTGCAAATTATGAAGATAGGCTTGAATTCAAAGTTTAAAAGGAACGTCTATTTTGAGTATTTAACTTTTTGAATTTAATGATATATTTTGAGCAATCATACCTCTTTGCTTTCATGGAGATTTACAAGTAAACTATCTGGTGTAGGTAGGAAAATATCTGCAGGGAGAATGGAAAAAAAGCATTTTATTTAAAGAAAAAAATAACATTAAAATGAGAACAAAACATTTCACTGCCCACTGTTATACATGCCATGAAAGTCTACTTTTTGGAGACATATATTAGAGAGAAAAATAATACAGCCCCTACCAAGACTGTTTTATTCAAATCAAGATTAACATTTGAATGTCACTTTTTAAACACCACCTGCTCTGTAGTTAGTGTAAGATTGTTTTTAAAAGTATGTCCTCTATACATTCAATAAAATTGACATACCAAAATATTTGAGATTTTTTTTTCCCAGAAGAAATATTAGAAAGTAGCTTCTCAAAAATTTGGTTTCCATTTTCTTTTTACTTACCATCAATATCTGAGACAATCAGCATCTGAGGCTGAGATAGACCTTCTTGCAAGTTGTAAAACTGAACAGTGCTGTCAAACGTTATGAACCCTATTCTTGTTCTTGAGTCTCCAGGCAGCCTGAAGCATTAAAAAAAATAAACTAGTAAGACCTAAATTTCTCTCTCAAGACACAAACATACACACAGCTCTTGCTGATGTTAGCACATACTTAGCTCATGTATACAAGAGGTGAAGGGAGAACAAAATAAAGGCAAGATCTGAAACATGAATACAAGTAATATTTCTTCAGTGTTTCCTGAAAAGTTGGGATAATGACACAATTTACAAGACTAAGTGTTACAGATAATCACTCACTAATATATTGATGTTTTGCTTCAAGAGAGAACTTAGCAGGTTCATTTAAACATTACACTGACAAATGAAAGAAGGCAGCCTTCTCAGTTTTTAAATATAAAGTTCTGCTCCTTCCTAATGCAAAAAACCCACTCAATAATGTAGTTACAGAGAACTTGCAGCTCTAAACCAAAAGCCAATGTCTCTACAATGCAACATATTTATTTCTCATGTGGACCACATTCTTACGTATGACATTAAAAATACAAAAAAGGAAACCTCAAATGAAACATCAAACATCACCAAGTGCTGAAAACCCTGATGGTGAACAAAACCAAGGCAAATATTGTTTTCACCATCTGGGTATATAAACTAACAGGATGTACTGATTTTCCCATAAATTTTGCATGGGATGAGTTGTCCTAAAATAATTTAGCATGCTTCTGAGAACCTGTTAAGAAAATACCTGTAAAGATTTAAACGAAGAAAGACTAAAACGATAAATGTGAGTGAAGAATTTTATTGTAGACATTGATGACTTAATCAGAATTTAAAATAAAGTTCCCTAAGAGAAACTTGCAGAAAACAACTTTCAGAGTGAGGATGCAAATTAGTTTTCAAAACACACG